ATTATCAATGAGCTAGGTTGTTTAGTCGTGGTGACTGTACTCCACCGAGTGTCACTGATCATCAACTTCAGTTATCTTGTAATTAGCAATGACCTAGGTTGTTTAGTCGCGGGGACAGTACTCCACCGAGTGTCACTGATCATTAACTTCAGTTATCTTGTAATTAGCAATGAGCTAGGTTGTTTAGTTGCGGTGACTGTACTCCACCGAGTGTCACTGATCATTAACTTCAGTTATCTTGTAATTAGCAATGAGCTAGGTTGTTTAGTCGTGGTGACTGTACTCCACCGAGTGTCACTGATCATCAACTTCAGTTATCTTGTAATTAGCAATGAGCTAAGTTGTTTAGTCGCAGTGACAGTACTCCACCGAGTGTCACTGATCATCAACCCTGAAAGTACCCGCAAAGTATCGAGTGTGATGAAATACATGTACAAGGAAATATGGGAATAACATTTAACTTCCACCGAACTGGGAAAGTACACAAGTTTAGCGCACTTAGGATTCCTATTCACAGTTATCTGTGTCAAGTGAAAAAGAGATACACTCCCTTCTATGCAGGGTTGTATGCATTCTGACACGGAGAGATGGACCCGAAAACCTCGCACAGGTCTAGGCATGTTATGTCATGTCATTTCCTTGTAATGGGCAATGTAAACCTACACGGTTGAAGGTAGTTTACATTTGACAAACAAAACAGAGGTGAGGTGAGGTGAAATGGGGTTTAACGTCGCGTTCAAGATTATTGCACTTATATAGCGACTGCATGTACGTGTGTGTGTGTGTGTGGCTGCTTGTACTAGTCCGGACTGATGCCGATTAATAGTGCTAGCTCACTGAGATACCATGCCGCAGTTTAACATGAATACACCACTCAGACACAGTATACTGACTATGAGCGACCAGTCCTTGTTTTAGCCCCTTAATGCCGAGGGCCAGACAGGGTAACAACAAATACCATCTAACAAAACAGACGGGCAAACATTTCATAACATACACATTTTGTTAATTACTATACATGATGCCTTAGTTAGTTCAGGCTGCGGGTAAGAGTCAAGTCTGATCAATTAGTCAATGAACTGTCAATGACAGAACTATCTGCTTCCCCCTACATAAAGTAGACGCGCCCACATTAAATTCTCGAGAATATTACAAGCCTATGCAGATTGCCGAGACACTTGATATGCAGAGAGCCGTGTGGCGGCGGGCGAGAACTGTGTGTTCGTTGTATAGCCAAACTGGTGGATGGTATACGCGATGAAGATGTCGAGAACGCTGGGACAGTACTGTTTACAGCTGTGTGTTGGGGTAGAGGTGATTGACATGAGATTGAGGGTTGACAGTGTCTGGTTTAGTCTGGTAGAGATATTAAAGTGCAAGGGTAGGTTTGTGGACGCTTTGGGTAGAGACTTGTGTGTTTGGGAAGTGTGTGTTGGAGTCTGCGGGTCAATGCCGCAGTTAGGAGCGTATGGAGTGGCGCTTGTAAGTCAATGTTGCAGTTTGGAACTTGTGTTGTGGCGCTTGTAAGTCAAAGTGGCAGTTTGGGACGTATGGAGTGGCGCTTGTAAGTCAAAGTTGCAGTTTGGAACTTGTGTTGTGGCGCTTGTAAGTAAAAGTTGCATTTGGGACGTATGGTGTGGCGCTTGTAAGTCAATGTTGCAGTTTGGGACGTGTGGTGTGGCGCTTGTGAGTCAATGTTGCAGTTTGGGACGTGTGGTGTGGCGCTTGTGAGTCAAAGTTGCAGTTTGAGACGTGTGGTGTGTTGCTTGTGAGTCAAAGTTGCAGTTTGGGACGTGTGGTGTGGCGCTTGTAAGTCAAAGTTGCAGTTTGAGACGTGTGGTGTGGCGCTTGTAAGTCAATGTTGCAGTTTGAGACGTGTGGTGTGGCGCTTGTAAGTCAATGTTGCAGTTTGAGACGTGTGGTGTGGCGCTTGTAAGTCAATGTTGCAGTTTGGGACGTGTGGTGTGGCGCTTGTGAGTCAAAGTTGCAGTTTGAGACGTGTGGTGTGGCGCTTGTAAGTCAATGTTGCAGTTTGGGACGTGTTGTGTGGCGCTTGTGAGTCAAAGTTGCAGTTTGAGACGTGTGGTGTGGCGCTTGTGAGTCAATGTTGCAGTTTGGGACGTGTGGTGTGGCGCTTGTGAGTCAATGTTGCAGTTTGGGATGTGTGGTGTGGCGCTTGTAAGTCAATGTTGCAGTTTGGGACGTGTGGTGTGGCGCTTGTGAGTCAAAGTTGCAGTTTGGGACGTGTGGTGTGGCGCTTGTGAGTCAAAGTGGCAGTTTGGGACGTGTGGTGAGGCGCTTGTAAGTCAATGTTGCAGTTTTGGACGTGTGGTGTGGCGCTTGTAAGTCAGTGTTGCAGTTTGGGATGTGTGGTGAGGCGCTTGTAAGTCAAAGTTGCAGTTTGAGACGTGTGGTGTGGCGCTTGTGAGTCAATGTTGCAGTTTGGGACGTGTGGTGAGGCGCTTGTAAGTCAAAGTTGCAGTTTGGGACGTGTTATGTGGCGCTTGTAAGTCGAGGTTGCAGTTTGGGATGTGTGGTGTGGCGCTTGTAAGTCAATGTTGCAGTTTGAGACGTGTGGTGTGGCGCTTGTAAGTCAAAGTTGCACTTTGGGACGTGTGGTTAGGCGCTTGTGAGTCAATGTTGCAGTTTGGAACGTGTGGTGTGGCGCTTGTAAGTCAATGTTGCTGTTTGGGACGTGTGTTGTGGCGCTTGTGAGTCAAAGTTGCAGTTTGGGACGTGTGGTGAGGCGCTTGTAAGTCAAAGTTGCAGTTTGAGACGTGTGGTGTGGCGCTTGCGAGACAAAGTAGCAGTTTGGGACGTGTGGTGTGGCGCTTGTAAGTCAAAGTTGCAGTTAGGGCGTGTGGAAATTTGAGGTTGAGGTTACACTTGCTGAGTGAGTTGCTCTGGTGCAACTTTGAACAGTATTCTAGTTAAATAGGGGCGGCCGGGTAGCCTAGTGGTTAAGGCGTTCTCTCGTCGCACCGAAGACTCGGGTTCGATTTCCGATATGGGTACAATGTGTGAAGCCCATTTCTGGTGTCCCCCGCCATGATATTGCTTGAATATTGATAAAAGCTCACTGACTCATTCTGAATAACAGCGTGTCAAACCGCTCGAACTAGGAAGACTGCAGAAAGTGGTAGTGAGTGTAGATCTTCGTAGAATCTACCCGAGGAAGTATAGGGTGGAGTAGAGAATATTTGGGGCAGCATGGAAGAAGAAATTGCACCCTGATGTCACTACCTGAGTCATAAGAAAGACACGCTAACGATATAGGAATCGCATGCATTTATTATGTCTTTTAACTTGAAGCCACAAAATATTTTGAAAAATGCAAACCGGATAAAAGATAGACTCCCACTGACCACCTTGTCTGCGTTTGTTTCTTTGTTGTTTTACACCGAACTCAGCAATGGTTTACATTTGTAACAGCGGTCTGCATGTAATTGAGTGCGGATATCTAAACCCAGTGATTGATATTATGAACAAGGATCCACAAGAGTTCGGTATGATCACACACAAGCAACCAAGCACTGATCAAGCCGACCTTTGACCATAAGTTGCTTGGGGTTTATTCTAACGAAGAATATGTGAGTTTGTTTGTTTGTTTGTTTGTTGTTTAACGCCGCATTCGGCAATATTCCAGCTACATGACGGCGGTCTGTAAAATAATCGATTCTGGGCCAGACAATGCAGTGATTGACATCATGAGGATCGATCCACGCAATTGGGATCGATGACTTGTATCAACCAAGTCAGCGAGCCTGACCACCCCACCCCGTTAGACGGGTGGAATATGTAAGTGTGTGCCTTGACTACAACCTTCTAGCTCAATAGGAGCCCAACACAAACACAGACGGTAGGTTGAATGGGAACAGTTCATGCATTAACACGGGAGACATAACCCAATATCCACAGCCGGGGTTTAGTCGTACAGCGAGGTATGCAGATTCAGAGTGACACTGGTGTCACTGCACGGAAATTGTTTGGTGTTTTCTGTATGATCAACCTAATTTTGGTGTGGGCCTGGGAAGTAACGACTTCCTCAGTTATATTTATAGTGACTTCAGTCTACTTCTCCCCTTTACGCATAACTGTGTATACTCTTTACAAAAAGTAGGGGGTCATGAAATATAAAATGTTATTACCAAGTATTCGAAGGAAGAAAATACGGACACACAGACATACAGGCAGACAGTTTTATTCAGTATGAAATTACAAAACATAAGCCCGATAATGATATAAAAGCATGGTCATGCACGCACATTTTAATCAACTTTACAATCGGGTGTTTCTTTTTATATTTACATGACATTGGAATAGACTGACATTTCTGATAAAATCAATGTACTTACTTTGATAGAAATACTATTGTAAATTGTTGGATATTTAATGACATATTTTTTTAATGAACTTGTTTCTCAATTCAGAGTAGAAGTGACATACACAGACAACGTGCAACTCGTTTATGTCTATAAAGCGTAACACCAAAAACACGTACAATAATAGGGAGATGTGTGCGTCAATGTCATATTGACCACACTGGATGTATTTTACTGGTCGCTGGAAGAGGAGTGAGACAGTCTCCCTCAAATTACCATTGGGAGACTCATACGCAGTATGGCTCGTCGAGTGAATGAAAGTTTGACAAATTAAGCAGCATTAAGCACAACTGATAAAAAAAAAACGTTTACTTTGAAATTTCCCTCAAGATCACTGGTGGTTATAACTTTCATACTCACTACCAGTTGTAATGTGTTCATAATTCGTTCATTATACAGCTATTATAGCATACAGCTATTATTAGAAACTAACACCTCTTTCAATATTTGAGGGGCGGTTGGGTAGCTTAGTGGTTACAGCATTTGCTCTTCACGCCAAAGACCCTGCTCGCTCAGACACTACAATATTGAAAAAAAACAAACTTTTTCTGAGTATCCGTTACGCACGCACGCACGCACGCACGCACGCACGCACGCACGCAAGCACACACGCACGCACACGCACACGCACACACACACACCAGAGAGATCCGGATGCTTTGATTATTTAGCCTCGTGCTATGACCTCCGAGGTAGCTATATCAGATCCAAGTAGACGAAATATACGGATGCTTGAGATATATCTGCCTGTTTCAGGTCACGTGATGTATTTATATAACGTCATTAAACTAAACACTTGGGGTAACGCTTCCACGCTCACATTGATGTGGTTCTTGGTTCAGTTGTGTACGAATGCGCCAGGTCACGTGATATGTCTGAACGGTGGACCGACCTCAGTTCCTCATAACCGTCGCTGGCTGGTTGTCCCCCTGCAGTGAGCGCATCATACATCGCTGCTTCATCCACGACGGCATATTCTCGAGCATCAATGGCGTCTGCTGACACAGGTGTGCTCTGGACTGGCGTGACGTACTGCTGAAACCTGCAAGTTAACTGCTTGGTTAGAGTGAGTGAGTTGGGTTTAACACCGCTTTTAACAGTATTCCAGTTACATCACGGCTTGTCAGCTTAATATGGGAGGAAAGCCGGAACTGATTCAGGTCTCAGACGTTTACCACTTCGGTGACACCATCGAGCACGGGTATGGTGCTGACAAACCTAGAAACATAATCGGGGCGAAGCGGGATTCGAGCCCACACTAATAGGTTTCTGGATCTGCACAGCGAATAGCGGCACCTTAGACGACTGGGCCACCCGAGCATCAATGGCGTCTGTTGACACATGCGTGCTCTGGACAGGCGTGACGTAATGCTGAAACCTGCAAGTTTGCAAGCTTGGCTAGAGTGAGTGAGTTGGGCTTAACGCCGCTTTTAACAGTATTACAATTATATCGCGGCGTGTCAGCTTAATGAGGGAAACAAAATTGAAGCGAAGCGGGATTCGAACCCACACTCATAGGTTTCTGGCATGCCCAAGGGACGCAACTCTGCACAGCGAATCGCGACGCCTTAGACGACCGGGCCACTAGTGCCCCCGCTTGATTAGAATGCTCATGCCAACTTGAATGTAAAATGACATTGCGTGCGTTCACAACACTTGTGATTAGGGCGAGAGGGTATCCTTGTGGTTAAAGAGTTCACTGAAGGCACAGATTGGCACTGAAGACCCGGGTTCTTTCCCCACATGGGTACAATGTGTGAAGCCCATTTCTGCCGTGATAGTGTTGACATATTGCGATAAGCGGCCTAGAACCATATTCAGTCACTATAATTGAAAATAATATATTTCTTGAGGAGAAACTATTTTGGACCAATATTTGTATACTAGTTTCTCCATGAAGAGAAATTACGTAAAGATAAATCACACACAAATACATGAATTAGTGTGAGTCCCAAATTGTGTTAACAACATGGAGCAAAACGAGACAGTTTATATCAAGACTGTTCATATTATGATATCTATAACATGTATATAATGTTTCAATATTATGTAGGCAGATTATTTCACTTTTAACAAAAGCATGTCAATTTTACGTGGAGTCTCAATTTAGTCTGTATGTCCATGCAACATTATGTTTTACTGACTGACTGACTGACTGTCTGACTGACTGACTGACTGACTGACTGACTGACTGACTCACTCACTGACTCACTGACTGACTGACTGACTGACTGACTCACTCACTCACTCACTCACTCACTCACTCACTCACTCACTCACTCACTCACCTGTTTCGTCTCAAGCGTTGACGGTACTTGCAGCACACAACAAGAACGACCATCACGATGAAACCGAAAGCTGCTGCGGACAGCCCTGTATATAGTCCCACTTTACCAACAACTGTACCAACTGAAAAAATACAACGTTAACCTGTGTACATGAATGAAGAGAGACAACGGCTCATTCCAAACTCTGAACTTGTATGGTATATATATATATGAAAATTAATTCAACACATTTGACAAGACCCGTGAAGAGCCAGTGTAGAATAGGTTTTCACCAACTATGCTGGCCATAAAGAGCGACCACCTTGTCGTAAGAGGCGACTAACGTATCGAGTGGTCACGCTCACTGACTTGGTTGATGCATGTAATCGTATCCCAATTGTGTAGATCTATGCTCATGGTGTAAATCACTCGATTATTTACAGCCCGACATCATATAGCTGGAATGTTGCTGAGTGCGGCGTTAAACAACTAACAAACAAACATGACAAACGCGGTAGGAATAGGGGTACCCGTCCGTCAATGGATCAGTGTGCTCTCGAATGTCATGCTCAGTGGAGCCTTGAGAATAAGAACTATCAACCTGGTCATACGGCAATACCAATCCGATTCACAATCAGTCCTGTGGTAGGAGTCTACACATCCAAACTTCGAGATGTTCCAACTATGTTCAGAGAGTTTATACATAACAAATAGTTTTCGCTACTCCACGTTTCAGAAAGACAATGACACATTTAGGGTATCACACGAACACCATCACTTCAGTATTTTTGCACGGAATTCAGCTGTTACACTCACTCACTGTTGATATAACATGACATGATACGTATGAAGATAATATACATGGTACAATGAATCATAAATTGACATGAACACACGTTCTTGATCTTAATATTTATTGTTGTCAACGATTTCATTCGTAAGTCAAACCTTGTAAATTGGTTTCATAAGAATGACACTTAATGTCACAAATCAACATTACCGAGATATATCCTGTAAACAGACTTCCGTGGAGCGGCAACTTCGCTCAGTAGGTTTCAGGAATACCGACATATAAAGCAACTTTACCGAGAGTATGATCTACAAGTTATGATCGCCACATGAATATCTATCATATGAATAGTGATGCTATTAAAACCTTTACGTAAAACTATACCTACCATCACAGTCAGTCCCGAAGTAGGAGTCTACACATCCAGACATACAGGAGGAGCCCAGCTGACAATATCCTCCATCACAACCACCTGGACATGCTGTACAGCCACCTCCTGGACTGTCACATGGTATGTTGCAGCTGAAGCCTTGGTATCCTGGCACACAGCCCTCAGTGCAGTTAGCACCACCATGGCTTGAGGTCACACATGTGTTATGCCTACAGTTCTTGCTGCAGGTAGAGTTGCAATACCGATCGTAATATCCAGTGTCACAGTCAGTGAGGCAATCCCCAGAATCTCTGTCACAGTCTGAACAGTGATTGGTTTTCTTGCATGGGCCAGCTGAAAGTCAAGATGCAGGTAACTATTTATAATATTGAAAATAAGGTTTTCTATCATACCTCCTTGTCAGAATGATATCTGATTAGTCAACGTGAACTTGATAAAAGACTTCGTAACCAGCAATGGAGGGAAATACATTTCTCAATAAATCCTTTCTACCCTGCCACGAGCAAGACCCCATTTAACCCTCTTGCTCCTGCTACAAATAATTTTGGTTGCATGGGTTGCACTGGTGGCCCAGCCTTCTCTGCAATTCCCACCTTGACATTACTGTTTCGTGAACAGGCTTTAAGTATGAAATTTAATGAGATTAAATGTGGTAAGTTCAAAAACTGAATAAACCTTGAAAATAATATACTCATGGTTATATCTTTGATGATAAACATGACTGGTTATACCTTAACTCATACATTCTAATACTAACAGCTCAGTGAGTATTTAATGCATGCTATTTAAGATGGGTGATAAATGGCAGGGCTGAGTATATACCTATACTCTGTACATGAACTACTACATACTGATCGGCATTATTGGTAACCAAGCTACAAGTACGATCACGATAATGACAGGAACATTTTTTTGTTTGTTTGTTTGTTGTTTAACGCAACACTTCCGTGAGTATCAAAGAAGATTGGTAGCTGTATGCCACAACGTGGATCACCAACCCTCACTGACACACGCGTGATACAGATGACGATTAATGTAAGTATCTACGGGTGTATCTACTTTGCATGAGTTCATTGAGGTATAAATATTTATTGATCGATTGAATGATTGATCCATCTATATGACGACGGTCTGTAAATAATCGAGTATTGGTCAGACAATCTAGTGAGCATCGATCCACGCTATTGGGACACGATGACATGCATCAACCGAGTCAGTGAGTCTGACCACCGGATCTCATTAGTCGGCTCTTACGACAAGCATAGTCGCCGTTTATGGCAAACATTGGTTGCTGAAGACCTATTCAACCCCAGATCTCCACAGGAATGACTTACATGGTTCAAGATTAGTAATATCATTTCAAAGCATTTGACATTCAGAGGGTAAGTACCGACTTTGAAAGTGTTATACCTAGTACACAGAACCACACACAAACATGTGCATGCACATATGTGAAAACAATCTTGAACATAATCCGCATTTTATATAGAACGCAATAAATACTTCAGCTTTCGAATAGTCGACCCTCCCTTCATGTCGAGCACTACTCCAGCAGCTAAAGTCTCTGGTGGTTGCATTTCACAACTTTTGAGATACAATCGAGCACACTCATACCAAGATTTCAAAGAGTGTCGTGCAACTCTTGCTCCGACTTTGATTGATCAAGGTTACAACATGCAATGCCAAAGTAAACCTTTACAATAAGATTTCAGGAAGACACGTGGAGGATATGTTCCCGTTTTTCTTCAGGTGAACACTCGACTTGCCTTTGCATGTGTTTGTGACGAGTGCTACCGGTGGGGCAGGATACGATCAACTATCACGAACACGAGGTATCATCACTGTTTGATAGAAATTCATAAACACATGATCATGACTTTGAGAAGACATTGGTATTGATTATAGAAAAGGTTTCATCACTTTTTTTACCTTCAGTAGCAATTACCAAGCATGCTATCCACACCATCACAGAGGCAGCCGTTATGTTGACTGAAATTAAATTTTGAAACAACAAATAAGTGATAAAACACATTTCCCGTCGACATACACAATGAAACAAGACGATGAAGAGCATAACATCAAGGGTTGGAAAGTAGCGGAAGTACGTCAGCATTGTAGTTTCCAATTATATACTGCATTTATTGTCATACCGCTACTTTTACGTGTATACGTTTACAAACCGTCCGTCCTTTGAGACGCTGTCCGCTTTTGTAATAAAGTTGCTGACTGACGCCCAAAATGCCACTTGGCCTACATGTTAGTCTCAGCTTCATTAGAGATAGATGAGCATATATGACAATGAGGCAAACTCAATTTATTCATGTCGATTCAAATGAAATTGTATAATATCCATGGCATGTATTGTCCAATCAGAATGCTGTACGTACTTCTGTAAATGTATTCATCATGGTGTATACAACTGTATGTTTGTACTTATATAAGGAAGAGACACGACCGGAGTGGCGGTCGACTCACGGGACTCGGGACACGCTGTCCCGGGACCCCCGGTCACACTCTAGGACGACGCCTACCAGTGTCCGTGTGATAAAGACTCTACATACAATAAGACACGCTGTCCCGGGACCCCGGTCACACTCTAGGACGACGCCTACCAGTGTCCGTGTGATAAAGACTCTACATACAATAAGACACGCTGTCCCGGGACCCCGGTCACACTCTAGGACGACGCCTACCAGTGTCCGTGTGATAAAGACTCTACATACAATAAGACACGCTGTCCCGGGACCCCGGTCACACTCTAGGACGACGCCTACCAGTGTCCGTGTGATAAAGACTCTACATACAATAAGACACGCTGTCCCGGGACCCCCGGTCACACTCTAGGACGACGCCTACCAGTGTCCGTGTGATAAAGACTCTACATACAATAAGACACGCTGTCCCGGGACCCCGGTCACACTCTAGGACGACGCCTACCAGTGTCCGTGTGATAAAGACTCTACATACAATAAGACACGCTGTCCCGGGACCCCGGTCACACTCTAGGACGACGCCTACCAGTGTCCGTGTGATAAAGACTCTACATACAATAAGACATGCTGTCTCGGGGCCCCGGGTCACACTCTAGGACGACGCCTACCAGTGTCCGTGTGATAAAGACTCTACATACAATAAGACTTATGTCTTATGTTCGACCGCATATGGTCAGCCTGTGACCTGGTTACACCATTACAGCCGTAACTATACACAGACTGGTACGTGGCATTAAGTGACACTATGAAGCTGGGAATCAGGATGGATACTGAGCATGCACCATTGTATCGATTCTAGTGATTTATTAATTTTAAGTCATATCATGTAATGGTTAAATGTGACGTTTGCAAGCTCCAATTTGGTTGATGCATGTCATCGAATCCCTATAGCGTGGATCTATGCTCATGATGTCAAACATTGGATTGTCTAGACCAGACTCGAATATTTACAGACCGCCGTCATATAGCTGGAATATTGTTGAGTGCGGCGATTCAATCGATCAATGAAGATTTATACCTCAATGAACTCATGCAAAGTAGATACACCCGTAGATACTTACATTAATCGTCATATGTATCACACGTGTGTCAGTGAGGTTTGGTGATCTATGTTGTGGCATACAGCTACCACTCATACTTCATACTCACGGAAGCTAAAGCCGTGATTGTAGTTGTATCCCCCCCCCCCCCCCCCCCCCTCCCCACCCACCCCCACCCTCCCAACCTCCACCCCCATCCCCCCCACCCCCACCCCCACCCGACACACACACACACACAGAACTTACCCGGAAGATGGAAATGAACACTGTGGCGTGGAAAGAAGGAAATATTATCAGGCACAGTGGTTGGAAGATATGCAGAGCAATATATTCATAAGCTATTTCAAAACAACTTTGTGTTAAGTTTAACTGTCACTTAATATTGTTTTTTCTTGTTTTTTTTGCAATTGAATTTTATCACCTTTAAGAGCTCTGAAACGTACAAAGAGTACAAAAAAGAAGTTGATATATATAAAAATACTGTCGTGTATTCAAAACCCTTGCCTTGTTCATAAGAAATCCCTGCTAAAAACAAATATCACAGATTATAGTTAACGAAAGAAGTATCTTGGCATACAGGATTGTTGTTGTATCCATTTACACAGGGTTGTCGCTGTATCCAAGTATCCTTGGTTGTCGCTGTATCTAGGTATACTGGATTGTCGCTGTATCTAGGTATACAGGATTGCGACTGTATCTGGGTATACTGGATTGTCGCTGTATCTAGGTATACTGGATTGTCACTGTAACTAGGTATACTGGATTGTCACTGTAACTGGGTATACTGGATTGTCACTATATCTGGGTATACTAGATTGTTACTGTATCTGGTATACTGGATTGTCACTGAATCTAGGTATACTGGATTGTCACTGTATCTAGGTATGCTGGATTGTCGTTGTATCTAGCTGTACTGGATTGTTGCTGTATCTAGGTATACTGGATTATCAGTGTCTATGGGTATTCTGGATTGTCAGTGTATCTAGGTATACTGGATTGTCGGTGTATCTAGGTATACTTGATTGTCACTGCATCAATGTATACTTGATTGTCATTGTATCTAGGTCTACTAGATTGTCAGTGTATCAAGGTACACTAGATTGGCGGTGTATCTGGGTATTCTGGATTGTCGGTGTATCTAGGTATACTGGACTGTTGCTGTATGTTGGTATACTGGATTGGCGGTGTATCTAGACATACTGGATTGTTGGTGTATCTAGGTATACTGGATTGGTGGTGTATCTAGGCACACTGGATTGGCGGAGTATCTAGGCACACTGGATTGTCAGTGTATCTACGTATACAGGATTGTTGATGTATGTAGGTGCACTGTATTGTCGGTGTATCTACATATACTGGATTGCTGCTGTATCTGGGTGTACTGGATTGTCGGTGCATCTAGGTACACTGGATTGTCACTGTATCTGGGTATACTGGATTGTCGATTTATCTAGGTTCACTGGATTGTCGGTGTATCTAGGTTCACTGGATTGTCGGTTTATCTAGGTTCACTGGATTTTCGGTTTATCTAGGTTCACTGGATTGTCGGTTTTTCTAGGTATACTGTTAGTCAGTGTATCTAGGTACACTGGATTGTCGGTTTATCTAGGTATACTGGATAGTCAGTGTATCTAGGTATACTGGATTGTCAGTGTATCTAGGTACACTGGATTGTCGGTGTATCTAGGTATACTGGATTGTCGGTGTATATAGGTACACTGGATTGTCTGTGTGTCTAGGTTTACTGGATTGCCGGTGTTTCTTGGTATACTGGATTGTCGGTATATGTAGGTTCACTGGATTGTCGGTGTATCTAGGCACACTGGATTGTCGGTGTATCTAGGTATACTGGATTGTGGCCGTATCCAGGTAGACTTAATCGTTGCTTTACCGGTCCCAGTTTTAGCCTCTACATATCGAGCGTCAGGCAGGGTAACATCAAGTGGCTTCCTTATCATGTGTTGGTATGAACTAAACTCCCGATCTTCCGCTCGCGCAACCACTGGACCACGGAGGCGGTCTGTGATTTAGTCGCGCTACAACTGGACCACGGAGGCCTTCTCTGATTTAGTCGCGCTACCACTGGACCACGGAGGCGGTCTATTATTTAGTCGCGTTACCACTGGACCACGGAGGCGGTCTGTGATTTAGTCGCGCTACCACTGGACCACGGAGGCGGTCTGTGATTTAGTCGCGCTACCACTGGACCACGGAGGCCTTCTGTGATTTAGTCGCGCTACCACTGGACCACGGAGGCGGTCTGTCATTTAGTCGCGCTACCACTGGACCACGAAGGCAGTCTGTGATTGAGTCGCGCTACCACTGGACCACGGAGGCGGTCTGTGATTTAGTCGGGTAGTTTCATGAAAGTAGCAGGTGGAAGTAACTGCACGGACACTGAAACTGCAGATGTCATATCAATACGCAAAGCCAGGAACATGAAAGTGTGTTTGACCAGCAGTCTTACAACTGTAGCATGACTGTCCGTAAATTACTGCCTGGACCAGCTAAACCAGAGGTTTTTATTGTGAGCATCTATACGACGATACACATACACGATGTAGAAATTCATTGATCCTCATTTCCAGTGTTCCTTGTTTTTGAGGTGCAGTGATATATACTCCACCAAGATTGCCTGATCATCATTCCCCTATCCGATGTATCTGTTTCTTTCAACAAGTGAGTGAGCTGGGTTTAACGCCGCTTTTAACAGTATTCCAGGTATATCGATGTGTGCCAGCTTAATGTGGGAGGCAAACCCGAAGTGATGCAGGTCTCAGACGTTTACCACTTCGGTGAAACACACGAGCACGGGTACAGTGCTGACAAAACTAGAAACATAATCGGGGCGAAGCAGGATTCGAACCCACAATCATAAGTTTCTGGCGTGACGATGGGACGCAACTCTGCACAGCGAATCGCGGCGCCTTAGACGACTGGGTCCCCCGTGCCCCTTTCTCTCAATATACAACAGCATGCTGGTGATAAAACATGGGAGGTCATTCAGACACAGTGAATAGGGAAATACTTCCTCCCATATCCTCACCTCCAACAGTTATATGTGTATGCATTGCCGCTCAATCCTTAGAATCATATATATAAGGGGTGATACAGTCGGAAGTCTTACCGTACATTGTATACTGAAATATATATATACAAGGACATATGGGAGTGACATTTTGACTTCCACCGAACTGTGGATATACACAAGTGAAGCGTATTCAGGAGTGTTTCTGACTGTTTTCTGTGTCAAGTGAACAATTCAAAGTTCAGTTTAACCCGAACGCCTCGCACAGATCAATGCATGTTATCGCCATTTCCTTAAAATTGGTACGTTGAACCCACAGGGGTTGAAGGTAGGTGACATTTATTTTGACAAGCATACCAGAAAGTCAATACACAATATAATCATTTTCCTAATTCACATTAGTTTGTTCATGTTGTAGGTGACAGTAATGTCTGATATATATGGCCATGAACTGTCAGTGGCTCAACTATCTACTCCTGTCTCTTCCTTCCCGCCACCCCTACAGA